GTAGAGGCAGTAAATTTAAGTAAGTTTAAGAAAAAGCTTGATAAGTATATGAATGAAAGGGCTGATTTTAAGTTTTTTTACTTTATCATTCATTTATTTATTTATTTTTGAATCATTTTAATTTATTTTAGAGAATAGAACAGCTGAGATGGACCAATAGGTCCTATGTTGTATCAAAACATTATGTTATGTTATATGTATTGCAAACTGTGGTGTCAGTCCAAGCATTTGTCTTTCTCCCATTTGAAAAGCTGTGCATGCAGACAAAGCTCAACATTTATTTTTGAAATGACGGGAGAACAGACATGAATAATGTTGATGCCAAATTTTATTTCGCAAATAGGATTTTCTACACTAAATTATTAGGAATTAATCACACTATCAGTCACATTTCAAAATGTAACAGAACTTAAAGAATAAAAATGTAGATTTACCATACGTTATTACTGAGCAGCTCTTACCATGACTGAAATGATCAACAGTATAAGTAGCTCAGATCTTTGGCTCTGAGTGAAACCAAGAGTGCAACACAATTAACCTTTTTAAAGTCCATGAAATAATTTAAACTGATAGATTAATTTAAATTTTTCCCATCACTGGGGATGGGTACTTTTGCTTGTTCTATTATATTGTTGCTGCTTAGAGTCATATTTCATTCTTTCTCTTAATTATTAAAGAATTTCAGGCAATCGCTATGAAAAACTTAGGATAGAAATGTTAATTATTGTTGAAGTTTATGCTGAAGAGAGAATTGGAAAACTTCTAAAATATCTGCATTCTGTATCATATTAACAATTTTATGATTTTACATTTTCACCAACAATAGTCATGTGACACTTGTTAATTTGCAACTGAAAGTACAAAGTTCAAAGCCCATTACCAATCAGTGTTGCTAAGTCAGCATATTTTCTATTTTATGAGACACATTTTCTAGAGATTAGTTTTTTCAAAACTGTGATAAACACAATGGTTTGACTTGTCATCAATAAAGCATAGAAAATGTGGGAGCAATCAGGTTAGACTTTCAAAAATCTCCCGATAAAAACCATTGATTTTTCCAGAATTTACAGCATTGAAAAATGTGTTTACAAAATTCAATGACTTTCCAGGATTTTCTTAGCCTGTGTGAACCCTGATTACAAGCCTGTAAGGTGAAGACTACTTCAAAAGATTTTACACGAGAGAAAAGAAAAGCATGCTCGTTGTATTAGAAGTAACCCAACATACAGATTGGATAAGGTAGTACAGAATCAAACAAGCTTTTAGAAAATGAAAAGCAGCTACACTACTAGGAACTTAGTTGTATACAACCAACAGTTTCCTCTTTAGTATCTACAACCATGAGTTAGTTTTCTGTAAAGTAACAAAAAAGTGAAATCAAGAGAATAGACAATTACATGGGAAAGTAAGGGTTAAGAAGCATGATGTACTTAAACTGTTGTGTACTGTCACACAACTGCTATGAAGCTGGTCTACTCTTTTAACATAAGCAACATAAACTTAGTTGTCAGGTGATCAATACTCCAATACCTTTAAAGTAGTGAACATGATCCCAAGTTCTCCATTTTGCAGGTGAGGCTCCATCAAATCTTCTATTAAGTGGATTTCAGAACCAAGATGGCGAATTGCTGCACGGACAACCACAAACTGGAAGACTGGGAAGAGGTCATCCATCGTCCACAGGAATTGGGTTTTAAGCTTTTTAAGAAATTCCTGGAAAACAGATGTTTACCAATTATGAAACTGAAACATTATAAATTTAAGTTTGTTATTTTTCATAGTCTACAACATTTTTCCATTTACTATTTTGCAGTGATAACATTTTCAGCATAAAAACAAACTATGCAAATTATTTAAACCACTTTGTAAGCTAATACTAAATAATATCATATAGTATCCAATAATTAAATTAACAAAGATAATGTTTACTTTTAAAATGTTTTAGAAACATCTGACTTAAAGTGTAACATAATACAACTCTGAGACAGAGCAGATTTTGATGCACACAGGGTAACCTTGAGATAATGAATCTCTGATATACACAATATAATCCTGATATAGATATCAGGTAGTTCTTGATGTATACAGTATAACCTTGACATAAAGATGGTGTAGCTCTGTCATACACAAGATAATCTTGAAATTAGACACAATGTAGCTCTGACATAAACATAGTAGTTCTGATGTACACAAGATAACCTTGATATAGACATCGGGTAGCTCTGACGTACACAGGATCCTGTGTACATCAGAGCTCGGCAATGTCTGTGTCAAGGTTGTAATTCTTCAATGAAATAATTGAGGTATACAAGGTAACATACACAGGATAAATCTGATCTCAAGTATCCTATAAGAAACATTTAACATTAAGCAATGTATTATTCACTTTATTAATCAAGTATTTTCCAAACGTTTTTCTTTAATGTGCATAACTTAGTATACATCTTCCACCAAAGTAATTTGAGTTCAGCATACCAACTATTACACATTCTTTAGCTAGCTTAGCTAATAGTACAAACTATTATGTGGTTTGGTTTGTTATGAATTTCGCGCAAAGCTTCACAAGGGCTATCTGCACTATCCGTCCCTAATTTAGCAGTGTAAGACTAGAGGGAAGGCAACTAGTCATCACCATCCACTGACAACTCTTGGGCTACTCTTTTACCAACGAATAGTGGGATTGACCATCACATTATGATGCCCCCATGTCTGAAAGGGCGAGCATGTTTGGTGTGACGGGGGTTCAACCCGCGACCCTAACCACCTGGCCATGCTGGGCCAACTATTATGTGATGAACATTATAGATTTTTAAAAATCAAACAGAATTTTTTGGCTCATCCAAGTATTAAGAAACAAACTCTCCCCCGAGTTTCACAAGTATTCATCACATAAACTCAATCATGAGACTAAAAAATTCTTAGTCCAATTTTTCAGTTAAGAAACTCATGGTTGACAGATTTGATAATGTAAGAATTACCATCTGATGTAGTAAATTTACACAAGACTGGTAACTGATTACATCAACAACTAAACACAACCCTTTTGAACATATGCAAATATTACACATTTTAAAACACAAATCACATTTCATTCTTGGCATACCAAAATAACTACACATTGGGCTTGGAAATTTTTTACCAACTTTGTAATTACCATGTAACTATGAAACTCTATATACTATAGTTCTGAATTTACTCGTGTAACTTCATAAAATTTGACAAGCTTTTAATACACATTGCAAGCATGTGGTACACAAAAAATCTGATTTTCTAATAACATATTTTTATTAAAGATTTTTCTCTGAACTCATGAAACATTTACTGAATCAGTCTGAGCGCCAGATGATTTTCATGTTAAGAATAGAGATAATATTTTCACCTTATAGTTTTAATATTTCATTTGTATAACCATTAGAGCTTCCTAAATGGATATCAAGTTTTCTTAAGTAAAACTTTGTATCTTATCTGTTATTTTCTCTACCCTAACACTAACTGTATATGGACTCAAGTTGACCAATGCTATAGCCACCAGTTACGAAAAATATATGAAATAAATCTAAATTACCCTATTTTATTTTTTAAATGACTGCACATTGTAACACATGAATACACATTATTCATTCTTACAAACAAAGCTAACACTTTTCCTTTAGTTTCATTTCTTGACATTAGCACATTATCCTTTTTTTCTTTCTAAAATGACTGCACATTGTAAAACATAAACATTATTCATTCTTACAGACAAAGCTAAAACTTTTCCTTTAGTTTTATTTCTTTACATTTGCACTTAGATCCTTCTCATATGATAAACAAAGGACTGAGTTATAAGCACGCTTGTCGAATTACACAGTCATACCTCACGATATGCATGGGCTATCACAAGTAATTTGTTTAATTAATTTTTTTCACTTAGGTTTTTTTCATCTAACCTAATAATTTTTCATTTTTACATTTTAGTTACTTTTATTATAATAAACATAAAATATTCATAAAAACAAGAACTTTAGTACTTATATCTGAAATTATCTTTTGTACTCATAAGAAAGAATTTTTAAGTCTATTTTTCTGTGGTGATAGCATTGTCTCACAAATGATTTTTTAAAAATTTCAAATATTTAACTTATAACACAAAAATATTGCCACAAACACATAAAATAGAATGTCATAAAACTATTATAATTAAATTGACTTTCTAACTAAGCTATAAATGGAATAAAATTATTCCAATAGCTGGTCAAGCTCCAACAACAGTAGAAAATGAAACTGAGAACAAATATGTCATCTGAACTACTCTTGCCTCATAGCATTCAGCAAATTGGAATCTTTTCTTTTTATCAGTTAGAAATAATCCAACAGCAAATGTCAAGGTAAATTGCAGACTTTTTCGAAATACCGGATGCCCTAACAAAAGTGTGGCATGTGTATTTCACTTTATTTATTGCATGTATTTCAATAAAGCAAAAAGCTTAGAAACTTTAACTTTAAATCTTAGCTTGGGAATATCTATAGTATAAGTGTGTAATTCACAGAAAACTTAGAAGATCACATAGGGGTAGAAAGCAGATCTAAAATGGGCAATTCGGAGCAAAGAAATATCAAATAATAAAGAAAAGTGAAGACTGAGATATTATTTCAATGTTTCCTTTTGAAATTAAAATACTAAAACTTATATAGTATTAATATTCAAATTATAAACTACATTTTGATGGCAAGTTTATTGACATAAATTTATCATAAAGTTATTTAATTAAATTTCAAATGTGACTCTGTAAAAAGGTCAAGACATGCACACTTTAACCCACACTGTATTCAGTGTGTTAACACACATTGTCTCCTTTAGTAATAAAAGAATCAACATTTGTTACTCCAAATATTGCTTTACTTAATGAAGAGATAATGACAATTTGAAATCTAATTACAACTACTTATCAAGAGGATCCAAAAATACCTTATTTATTTCTTCAAATGCTTCCTGGATTATTCTTAGCTTCCTTAGGGGTGTGAAGGCTGTGCTGTAAACATAATTCATTGTAATCTCTTATATAAAGCTGTTGCTCTATAAAAATGCAAGAACGAAATATTTTCAGAGCCACACTACGAATCTGTTTAAGTAAATCAGGCATAAATTGTTAAATTCTGAATGAAGATAAAAACTATTACACATAAATCAAAAAGTTGTTAAAATTTACAATTTTTAGAGGATACAAAAGCTTACAGATTTCAACACATTATGAAGTAACCTGATATACATGCATCACAAATTCACATTTCAAATTAATAAAACATTAATCAAAAAACCTGTTTATTTTTAAAATTGTATTTGAGGTCATGTTCAATGAACTTTTTAAAACCTTCATTACTGGTAATTCACAAATGAACAAAGGTACTATCTACCTTATATGCTGCAGAGTTTCTATTGCTTTGGCCAACAGTCGTTTTTCTGGACAAGGACTCTATGACACGAAAACAATAAAACTTTAGTCATATCCTATTGTCAGACTCCAACAAGATTTTTAAATATATTTTATATTGATGGCTTAGTTTCTCATGTTTTGCACTAGTTGTAAATATTAAAATGCTGTCTGATACATGAACATTACTACCTATTGTAAATTCTTAGCATTTAAAACAGCAGAGTAATCAAGGAAAGATACACATTATAAAACCTCACTTTAATATATATTTAAATTAACTTTTATCAAATACTTACATGAGACAACTAACACGTGGTATAACAAAATAATTGCTTGCAAAATTCACTAAAACAAATCTACTTCTACACAATAAAAGATCTTTGTTGTGTACATTAGAATATATAAATTATATCACTTAGTACTCACTTTGCACATTCTAGTCACTATGTAAACAAGCTACACCTCACAAGCAATATGCTGGTTTTTAATAACAGTGCCTAAATTTATATGAAGCTTATGGACCTAGAAATATTATGCATTTTTTTTTATTTACAAAAAACAAGTTACTCTGATAACTTAAAATTAATTTTATTTTACTTAAAATACCCTTCACTTTCATAAGATTTTAGTGCAAGAAATACTTATTTTTAACAGTTGTTACTTATAATGCCATTGATTTCTAATAGTTTGTGATTTAATGCTTTCTGAGAGACAATCATATGCTCATTGTATGAACACGAAAGTCTATTTTCTAGTTTAAAATTCACCAAACTTAATATTTTTTAAAAGTATTTCATTTAATGCTGTGTATTCTCACAACAATTTCAAGCAGTTAGTAATCAAAACACCAGATATGATTCACTATGTGAACATGTGTATTAGATATGAAAGTACAGAAGGTCACTGTCATACATTGCATCACTCAGTCATTTCGTTATTAAAGCATTCCCCAATTTTACCCATTATCAAACAATGTTACTTTGTTTCATTACTAGAGTATTCCAACATAGCTAATAATCCATATTTTAATGGTATATAAGTTTTAAGTTTTTAATCTTATAAGTCAATATTAAAAACAAATCCTAAATTTCCCCTAGTGTCAGAAATGTGACATTTTTTTCTCCCAGCATAACTTTTTTCTCTAATTTATTCACTACCTCTCCAATAAGTATAAAATTTAACGTAAATTACTCGCTGAAATATCGTCATTGTTCTTGATATAATGGGAATAATTGAAACATGGT